ATCCATTTGCCATAAGTCATCCAAACCTTTGATGATAATGCGGCGCCTTGGAAATTTTTTCCTAGCAGGTCTATGTAATTCATTGACGAGTTGGATTTTTTCTTTAGAATGTGACATATTGACTTCGTTGGATTAGGAGTTTATATGATGGGTTTCACACAGGAGGCTTCCTTTTCGGTGGCGGTGGTGTTGTCGTAGATTTTGGAGTGATGGCAATCTTGGTCAGATCTTTTTTCATTTGATCAATGACATCAGCAAGCTGGCGTTCTTTATCACGGCTGTGTTGTTGCTCAGCCTTCAAATCGTGCAAACTCTTCACAGTGTTGTCAATCTTATCGACAAGTTCTAGAATATTTTTCACATTCAAGTCGATGTCGCTTTTGAGTTTTGGTAGAGAGTTGTTGCGAAGCTGCTCCACATGTATGTTGTTCTTGTGCACTATGCCAGACAACTGAACAAAGTTTGTATTGTACGTTGCTAGTTTAAGATCATGTACATCCACTCTCTTCCTTTCTTTGATTATTTCGTTGCTGAAGCCAGCAAGGTAATTTCGGATTTTTTCACCGTAATTATCGAAAGCAATCTTGAAATCTAACTTAATTTGCGATATAACTTCATCCACATATTGTTTGTTTGCAACATCAGCGACATCTGTTGGCAGTTTTACGTTACACATCTTCAAATGACCAACATCAATATCACCGGTTGGAGTATGTGAAAATCCAGATCTGACTGTCACCATCTGAGCTGAGCGTGGAAACGAACCACGTCCGAATTTGTCGAGACTCATTATGCTAATGACTAAAGTATTGTACGTTATCGATAATGGTCGGCACTTTGCCTCGCCAATTATTAGCCCCTTCACTCATAGACATGCCATGAAAGTGTCACGGAACTGTCAAGGAAGTGTCACGGAACTGTCACGGAAGTGTCAAGGAAGTGTCACGGAACTGTCACGGAACTGTCACTGAAGTGTCAAGGAAGTGTCACGGAACTGTCATGGAAGTTGTCATGGAAGTGTCACGGAAGTATCACAGAAATGTCACACATGTTTTATTATGCCTGCCTCTTCTAATTCGTTCAAGATGGCAACAATCTCGTTATCGTTTGATGTATTTCCGGCTTGCTGTGATGCAATGAGCAACTTCAATCTATCTACCAATTCGTTTGGATCATCCCAATACATGTATTCGATAGGTGCTGTGTTGTATGTCAACTTCAAACCACGACCACTGGAATTCGATCTGAACATTGGACGAATAATTTCTACGTATTTGAGTCTAGAGGAGGACTTCATACGTCCTGCAGAATTCAGATGAGCTTTGGTGAGCAAGAGTATTTGCCTGTATGGGTTCGTATCATCTTTGGCAAAGGATGGATCATTATAGAAGAGTAATTGATAGAGGCCTGGGGTGCCACGGAACCGAAAGCCATCAAGAAGTATATCTCCAGTTCTTCGATGGAAATTCATTTCTTCTCCGTTGAGGGACCATTTCGATGTTACTGGATCATATTTGGGGCCATAAACCGTATCGATATTTTCATCATTTGTCCAGTATTCAGTCAGATATTTTTGAGCCATCGCAGGATACTGATCAACGTAATCATGTATTGCAGCCGGTGAGATATTTTCACTATCTACAAAAAGTTCATCATCAGCATCGTCATAACCATCCTCATCATCATCTTCAGTATGCCCAGCATTATCAGCCACATCCATCATAGGTATGAAATTAGTTTGATTCAAATCCGATTGCTCCCTCTCCACCTCCCCATCCTCTTCCTCCTTCTTCTCCTTCTTCAACCCCAACGACTTTGCTCTGCTTCGCTTGATGTTTGAAAGTGTTCCATCGAGTTTTTCTTCTATGACCTTGGACGCGGAGGCAATTTGTTTCAAAGGTGATGTCAGTGGTTGGAATATTTTCTGTAACGCATCATCATCCTCAGACTTGCCCAATTTTAGTGCTAAATATTTTCTTCTGATTGATTTCGATAGTTCGTTGATTTTTTTCTTGCGCAGCGCATCAGCAACATCATCATGCATCTTGGTTGACGTCATCTTGATGAATGGTCCAAAGATCACAGTCTTATGAACTTATCGAAACCATTTCTATATCTGCCAGCATTCATATCGAAAGTTTTTGCAATCACCATCGCACCATATTGGTTGGAATTCCAACACTCTGAGCACAATGCTTTGAATTGATCGAATGACATGTCTGGTGACACATGCTCATCAAACACATGCTTCAAATTCATTTCATCCTGTCGAAATAACACCAACAGGTTACTGTTGTCTCGCACCAGCTGCTTCGGTATCTTAGAAAAAGTCTGGCATAGGTATGCTACGTCAATATCCTTGTGTCTACACATTGAAAAATATTCTCGAATTTTTTGCTGCTTGTCGCATGATACATCATCAAAAATGAATATCGAATGATTTTTCGCTTCTGATGGACTGATGACATCATCATTTTCTTTAAAGGGAAAATACCCAACACCTTTCACTGAATCCAACACTTGTTGCAGCAATTGATATTTCGGTTGGTACAACGACTTTGAATACACGTAAACTTTCTTGAATTTCGCGCCATTTGGATTGAACAGCAGGGAAAGCATTGCATTGGTCTTTCCACATCCGCTTGGTCCGCAGAAGATTGCTCTGAACGAATGGGGAAGCAGTTTCCCATGTTTACTATTTACTGGTGGTTTGGTTGACAAAATTTCATCCAAATTCACAATGGGTAACATCCGTTCTTGTTGAATGATCTTCATCATGTGATGATATATTTTTCATTTCATTAGGTATATGCAGAGTTGTCGAACTTCCTACACATCAGTCTTCATGTTGCTCTACCACGGAGAGGGTGTGCTTAATTCTCTGATCGATAAACTTCCCATCGAATTACACATTCCAGGCTACAGATTTTGTGGTCCAGGTACCAAACTCGATAAAAGACTTGCAAGAGGAGACACCGGTATCAATCCGTTGGACGACGCGTGTCGAGAACACGATATCGCCTATTCACAAAATTCCTCAATAGAAGACAGACACAAAGCTGATTGGATATTGGAAAACAGAGCGTGGGAGAGAGTCAAGTCGAAGAACGCTAAATTCAAAGAGAAGGCTGCTGCTTGGCTTGTCACCACCGGAATGAAGGTCAAACGAAAACTTGGCATGGGTCTTGTATCACAGCAATCCCTATCCAACATTATCAAATTCATAAAAAATGTACTATCAAAGTCAGATGGTGGTGGTAGTACAACATCAGGAAGTGGTCTGCATAAATCTGCATTGAAAGCACTCCATGCAGCCAGAATGGCAGTCAAGAGGGCTGGCGGTGAAAAAAGAATAAGAGTACCAAGAATCATACCTCTTCCACACAGTGGCGGTATACTACCATTGATACCAATCTTTGCCGCCTTGGGAGCCCTAGGATCTCTCGCTGGAGGAGCCGGAGCAGTCGCAAAGACAGTCATTGATGCGAAAAATGCAAAGAAAAAGCTCGAAGAAGATCAAAGACATAATAAAGCAATGGAGGCTATCGGCAAGCAGGGTTCCGGCCTATTTCTACGCAAAACATCGAGAGGATTCGGACTGTACTTGAAGAAACAATCAAAAAACTCAAAAAACTTCTAGACAAGCTACCCAATAAATCAATGTACGATAAAGATGTGATAAAGTATGCCAAACAGCTGAAAATACCGTATTTTCGAGGTGTTTTTATGCGGGACACTCTACCTTCCACCGGTCCATGGCATCGCGAGTGTGCTGTATTGAATTTGGATACCTCCAATCATGCGGGCACTCATTGGGTGGCTTACATAAAAAATGATAAAAAAGCCTTATATTTCGATAGTTATGGCAATCTGAAACCGCCCAGAGAATTGGCGCAATATTTGGGTGCCAGCACGAAAATCTTGTACAATAACAATCAATACCAGAATTTCAATCAAAGTAATTGTGGACGTCTATGTTTAGAATTCCTTTTTAATGAGACCAAGTAACTCGGTCATTGTGCATCAGTCATGTCTCTGATTGTGACGTTGAAAGGTCGTACATCTACGCTCTCCATAGACTTTTTGACACCACTCCAACTCGATCCAGACTCTGATTACGGACTAGCATTGTTGGGATTCCATTCATACAACAGTATACCGAATATCGACAAAGGATCAAAGTTTTATCTGCAAGATAAGACCAAGGCGGGAAAGATCATCGATATTCCCGAAGGTTCATACGACATTGTGGACATTGAGAAATTCATACGCAAAGAATTGGGCATCTCAAGTGCAAAGGACGTTGATGATATATTCTTGTTGAAGCCCAACAATAATACACTAAAGTGTGAGATTTCGAGCAAACAGTTTGCCATTGATTTTCGCCCGAAGGATAGCATAGCTCAAGTCTTGGGATTTTCAAATAGATTGTTGAACGCACAACAAGTCCACACTTCCGATTTGCCGGTCAGCATAACCAAAGTGAGAACCATTCACATTGATAGCAACGTTACTGCTGGAGCTCTCTACAACGACAGACCATCACATACGATCTACGAGTTTGCAGTTGCAGTCGATCCTGGTTACGCCATAGACGAGACTCCCAGAAATCTAATCTATCTACCTATAGTCAGCAGGCGGGAATTGCCCAACATTACACTCCAGATTCTAGACCAAGATAACAGGCAGGTGAATTTTAGAGGTGAAGAAATCATAATAAGATTGGAATTGAAGAAACTCGCAAGATGGTACTAGTGTTTGATTACTCCTATAAATCAGATAATATACCATCATCAGCAACATCATCAGCACCAGTTCTCTCGACACCGTACACCAAAGCAGTCGTGTCTTCGAAGAGCAGCAGCAACAGAAAAACATTGACATTATCCAGTGTCCTGTTTCTGAAATCACTCAAAGACTACAATGTTGTTAGCACCCGTGTTCGACGTTTTCCGCAAACCCAGACTCGACGAAAGCATCACTAAAGTGGAATGGCGTACCTATTATCCATATGTGAAATCATTCGAGAACAATGATGTCATCGATATAACGGTTAATCAAGCAGATTCGTGGTTGGCCATGTTTGAAGGCATCATTACCATCAAGGGTAAATTGAAGGTGACCGGTGGTGGTACTGGTACATTAACCCACAATGCTGGAGCTTATCTCTCTGATTCCTGCACCTATGAATTGTGTAATAAAGAATTGGACACTGTCAGATATCCTGGAATAACGAGTACTGTGCGAGGATACTTATGTTATACGCCTGAAGACTCACGTCATCTAGCCATAGCAGGCTGGAACTATCCCAATGCTCCGATCCTCAACACCGATGGTACGTTTAGCATGAACATTCCACTGAAACATTTGTTTTCCATCTTCAATGATCATCAAGTGGCAACGTGGGGCAAGCAGTCAATCCGTTTAGTGAGAGCTCGCAATGATGCCAATAGTGTGAAGGTTGTCGAGAGAGCGAATACTGCTTTGCCAGGATCTCCTCAGACTCAAAGTATTGCTAAAATAACGATAGAAAGCATCAATTTGAAAGTGCCACATCTCACACCCAACGATGACATAAAGTTGCAGTTGTTGACACGTATCAAAGCAGATGAGTCTATGATGATACCGTTTCGCCGATGGGAATTGCACGAGCTACCAGCACTCACACAAGGATCTACCATAGAAATCTGGTCCGTCAAGACATGTTCTGCATTGGACAGTCCAAGATATGTTATAGTATTTTTCCAAACGAAAAAAGCCGATAATTTGCATGAAGACGTCACCTTGTTCGATAATGCCAACATCAAATCCATACGATTGGCTCTGAATAGCGACTATTATCCGCAAGAACGAATGCTATTGGACTTTTCCCGAGACCAATATGCTGACGCTCACTTCAACTATACAGAGTTCAACAAGAGCTACCATAACTGTCAAGAAAAGCGCTCTCTAGTAAACTTTGCCGAATTCAAATCCCGACCAATGTTTGTTATCGATTGCTCGAGGCGCCATCTGGGTCTAAAGTCGTCCACAGTTGACATAAAGTTGGACATTGAAGCGACTACAGGCTTCCCTCCCGACACCAAAGCCTATTGCATCATCATTCACGATCAAATCATGGAACATCTCCCACTCAGCGAAATTGTTCGAAATATTGCCTAGGTGGGTGTTGCTGCATCAGACAGACGTCAGTTTGCTTCGAAGAGTCATGGAGATCGCACTGGTTGACATTCAAGGGTTCATGGTTGATGGTGAATTCATTCCAAAGGAAATGACCATTCGCATTGGTAAAAAGACGAGTCATTTTCTATTCAAGCCATCTGTAGAATTTTCGAGTTTAAGCAGAGAAGATAAAAAGATGGCAAATCATGTGGAGCGTTACGTTCATGGTTTAAAATATTCCAGTGGTTATGTGGATTTAAATGAGTTGGATCAAATACTACGAGATAACCTGCAACAAACAAATATCATCTACGTTAGAGGACACCAAAAGATTCAGTTCTTGCAGCGAAAATGTGCAGAGTTGGAGATGACCAATCACATTGTTAATTTGGAAGATTTTGACAATTCTTGGTGGCAACCAATAACGTTTCAACAATCCATTCCACCTTGCATGCATCATTTCCATGGAGGAAGGTTCCAGTGCAGTCTCCACAATGTCGATACTTTATATAATTGGTTATGTAATTTATTGCCAAAATAAAAAACTATATATCGTAATTTCAGAGTTTTTATTCATCACATCCCTAATTTCTCAGTATAATGAAAATAACATGTGAGATTAAAATGAGTGAACATATTAGTGTACAACAAAGTGTCAAAATTGCAATGATATTGACAGAATCTTGATCATCATCTAATTTTGTGGGTGATTTCTTCAATGTAAATGTCTGCCAGTCCCCAGTTTCACCGTCACTGCCATCAGAAAACGATAATTTCAATTTGTAGTCGATGGTGGTCCCATTGACTCGAGGCATGTCGATTGAATATACAGGTAGTTTGTTATCGTTGACATACATTTTACTCATCAGCTTCCAATCACACTGTTGTGTACGATTCACATCAAAACATACGGCTGCATTCCTCGTATTGTACGGTATGTTTGTGTAGAAGACGTTGTTGCCCAGAGCTGTCAATAGAATGAAGCTTGCTTTCAGTATCGCCATCTAGTAGCTGTGTTGGTTGGATTCTTCTCGATGTAGGTGCAGCTGTGCGTCTCGGTTCTGTGAACACCTTGTCCCAAACACTCAATTGCTCGAAATCTTTGAACAAACAAACTTTCTGCTCATACAATTGGATGTCTGCACTGAGCTTTCTAACTTTCAACCCAAATTCTTCTAGTGCACGTCTGTATTCGTCAGAAGACATGATACAACTGTTTTACACGTTCATACCTTCAACTAATATCCATCCAATCTCTCTCTCTCTCTCACTTCCTATGATGAAGTTAGTCGTTTTGTTCAGATGTTTTCTAAGAATTAGTGAGTGTGGCATCGCTCACCATGCGCATGCCCTAATAACACAATAACATCAGTAAGACGTCGTAGAACTATCCATATGGGAAGATAGGAACAACTCTGGAAAATCCCTATTTTTCTTGGGACATTCTTGTCAGCATTTGCGATGTCTTATAAACATCCCATCAGAATGTTTGTGGGATGATACGGGATGTACCAGAGACATTCATGGTACTTGATATGGAACATCTTGAAGAAACTTTTAGGATGTTTTTTATTTGATGACAGTGATGGATGACACGGTATGAATTATCTTCATTCTGAAATCCTGAGAATGACCGACCTATTTGCAGATATAAGGTAACAATTCGAATCCGAAAATATATGAGTTCGGTGCAGTGCAATAACCAATGGAAGATGATAACAGTTGTTTGAGGCTCATATTTATTTGTTGGCGATCGGCCGACGGCTGTTAGTAACTCTTAGCAACGTAGTTGTACCGCCATCTATCGGCTGGTATAACAAATAAATTCAGCAATGAATATGCTGAAGAGATATATTTAAATTTTGTCGTTTATTACACGGTTCATGAAGTTAAGCAGGTTCTTTGGTAATCTTATTGAGGAATATTTAGTATAATCATTCCAATTTGTTATCGATGAAATTAGCCGCCGGCTTTGGTATAGGAATAAGTACGAATACAGTTTTGATTGAATTATAGGTGTTTTTTCCTAGGAGAACACCCTATTCAATTATCAGCCCAATGTATTCTAGTTAGGTATGATATAAATCGATTTTTCTACAAAAATTGCCACATAAACATACACCATGTTCCAATATCGAATTTCATGAAATGACAGACCATTAGTTGTGAGAAAATCAGCAAGCTGAAGAGTTTTGCTGTAGACATAGAAAACGCGTAGTATATAACTCACACAGAATGCTCGTATGATTTAACTTATGCAGCATACTTGAGTGCTTTCATTCACTCTGCACGATAAAAGACAAGTGTCCGACTACTGGCAAAGAATAACACAACTTGTTGCTTCTTTTTGGCTTATTGATAATATGATCTATTGAGCATTTCTTTCATGCATCACATAATATGATTCTTTTTTAAAACTCAGTCCACTGTCCGACTATACTGACTGATTCACCCTATACATTGAGAGGCTTATCTTCATGTGTGCATATTATATTCAAGCATTGTTATGCATTTTATCTGTCACTGAATCCGCCGAATATTTCAAAATCTGATACTCTTACAATAGATGAGCTATAGACAACAATTAACGAGTTGGTATAAAAGACATACACGGGTTCTCTTATCGTCTTTTCACGAAATCAACGAACTACCGAAATCAAACAGCTGTTCAAGTTGGAGCGTTCAAACAGGATGCCGTTATCTTGGTTGTTCTATATTTGGCGTATACAGAAAATCATATTCTTTCAAAGCCTAGAAAGATGATTAAATCAGCTGAGTTATAGACTAAAATCAACGGATAATAAAGGAAATAATCCTATTATTATTGATTCTCTTATCGTTCCATATGAGATACAAGGAACTATCGAAATCACACAAAAAACAGCTGTTCAAGCTGAAACAAGAGCTGTTTTTAGTCCCACACTAAAAAATATTTCTGCTATACAGGGCGGGTCAGCAAGAAATGTCGCTACCTCGTTTTTCATTTTTGTGACTCTTAGAGTGATTATCATCGTAAAAATGCCAGTCGACCAAAGACAGTCAGCAAGTCAACCAAGTTTATGATTTCATCACACTACCTACCAGTCATTATACAGGGTTTTTAAATATATATTTTTATATGCCAAGTTGAGTAGTCATTGTGAGTCTACTCGCCTAGCAGGTGTTGAATAAAAAACGGATAATTTTGACATCATTTATTTCTTAGATATTATACCAACATTTTCAAGTTCAGTAAGAATAAAGGCGATCTCGTTGTTGTTCTTATCTGATTCCATTGAATATCTCAGTCTATCCACCAAGATATTCGGATCTGTCCATTCATCTAAAATATTGTACTCTTCATTCCCAATACTGGCTTCAGGCTCCACGCTCGACTTTGGACGTTTAGGCTTGGTCTTATTTTTGAAGAGGGGTCTGATAATTTTATCAAATTTCTCCTTATCAGCTTGTCCTCGTAATCGCCCTAATCGATCTCTATGAATAGAGCTGATTTCTAGCATTTGTTTATACATCTGGTGATCCAGAGGCGTGTAATTTCGAGGGTTCTTGGAAAATAATAATTCCAAAAGACCCAGAGTACTTTTAAAATCGACATTATCTACGCCTATGTATTGGTCCTCAAAGCGTAGATTCTTATGTCCAAGTGTCCATCTGCCGTCAACATATTTCGGTCCATAAGCATTATCATAATCTGCACAGTGATATTTATCTAATGCTTGCTCTGATGAATGTGGCTTAGACTCCATGATGTGAACGCTATGGTGTTTGATATACAACTGAAGACTCTTGAATACCTCTGAAGACATCTGAATACCTCTGAAGACATCTGAATACCTCTGAAGACATCTGAATACCTCTGAAGGCGTGATCTTGAAGACCTCTGAATACCTCTGAATACCTCTGAAGACATCTGAAGAGTTGCGCTAATAAACAAATTGGACTTTTCCATGTATTATCAGAACATTTTGAATACTATAGCCGATTGGATTAGAAATAGCCTGACTGATTTGGGTGCGGAAGAGCTTATATCTGGATTTTGTGATGTTTGTGATAGCATGTCTAGTAACGCTCTCAGAGAATATCTATATTATTGTAAAAATGAGGTTATGTCTGATTTGAATGAAATGTTGTGAAAAATGTGACTAGTTTTTTTCATTTCATCAGTCTACAACTTGACGCGAGACTAGTAGCATCTGAAATATTTTAGCTCTGCTCGAAAAATCATGAAGTCTGAAATAGCTGTGCTATTGGAGTTTATAAAATCTCCCGCTTTGACTTTGACGAAATTCACTGAACAAGAATTGCAGTACATTCCAGTAGAATGTCTCATTGAATATGCAGATCCTTATGGGCTATTAAGGGTGTGTCACAAACTTCCTCAAGAATATCGCAGCAACTTTAACCTACAAATCAAACTGCCATGCTTCGTTCATTATAATCGTCCCGATTGGACCACACACTGGGATGGACCGCCATCTTCTCAAGAGGCATGTCATTTTTGTAGAAAAGGATTACTTAAATAAATAGATTATTTATCTTCGTTTTCGTATTCTTTCACCCCCATGGACCGCCCTGTATATATTTTTTTCAATTATCAATCAACTCAAACGCCCTGTATATGGAAATTCAATCTTGTTTTTGTCATTAAATACTCACTGGGATGGACCGCCATCTTCTCAAGAGGCATGTCATTTTTGTAGAAAAGGATTACTTAAATAAATAGATTATTTATCTTCGTTTTCGTATTCTTTCACCCCCATGGACCGCCCTGTATATATTTTTTTCAATTATCAATCAACTCAAACGCCCTGTATATGGAAATTCAATCTTGTTTTTGTCATTAAATACTCACTGGGATGGACCGCCATCTTCTCAAGAATCATGCTATTTTTGTAAAAAAGCTTTACTGTGAAATAAAAATTGATTATCTTACAATAATTTTCCTCGTAGTAGTAGTAGTAGTTTCATTTCGCATATATGTACCATTAATGACATATGTCAATGGTAGAACGATATCCCTCAAACCATGCGACTTTGCATATAGGTATATTGGCATTTCCGAGAATTGTCCATAAAAAATCCTATTTTGAGAGAGTACCCACACACACGTCACGTGATGTCATTTTACCAGAAGAAAAAAAACAACAGCATGACGCGTCGTCACCCACTATAAAAATAAATAATTAATTATTCAAGTATTTGTTTCCAATACGAGAGAGAGCGCGCGCGCGCTTATCATTCTAAGGGATCTCTCGCTTTGCTAGATCTTCGAACGCCATGAAGCGAGACAGCGTTGCCACACACAATAATGTAACAATATTAACATCCAAACACATACGTCCGACAACGTTGCAGCGCCGAGCGCTCGAGCCGCCTTACTCTCTACCTCGATAGATCCGTTGCAAAGATAAGCGCGCGCGCGCCAGCGATGGATATTATTTTCGACTCGAAGTTTCTTATCTCTGGAATGCATCTCTCGCTTCACTCTACCTCGATGGATCCGTTGCAAAGATAAGCGCGCGCGCCAGCAATGGATATCCCGTTTGAATAGCATTTAAATAATTGAAATATCACGGAGGTCGGAATACCGCAGTGCGTATATACGCTGCCTCATAATGCAAAGGTCCCTGGTTCAATTTCCCCCACCGGCGCGGTCAAAACAGCTTTTTTAAATTTATTTATTTAAAAATTCATCATGATTAAGATGTCATAACCTCACAATTTCAAATTTACCGCCATCAGCGCCGCCGCCATCTGCAAATTTGAACTTCGCGACACCAGCGACACCAGCGCCAACGCTAACTAGCGGCATTTTATTGAGGCTCTGGCGATCAATCAGCTTTGTATTACTACTCTCACCGCCTTTATGCCCATCGCTTGCCGCTTGCCAAACATATATGTTCAATCTTCTATTGGGTGACTCACCTGGAGCGAAACTATTATTCTTCAATGAGAGATTTCTCTGTTTATCTATTAAAATATATGTAACTCGTATATTATATAATACCAGTTATTACCTAGAATAAATATGATGGAACTTCTGGCATTCCTTACATTCGCATTTTGAAATGGGAATTGGGGTCCTACCTACAAACCATACTTTTTTTTTATTATATGGGTTACCTAATAAAAGTACCTATATACGTCGTGTTCAAAAATTCAATCAACCCATCTGAAACTTCTTTTGGTTTCATCTCCAGTGCTAAGATTTTCTGAATAGCTTCAGTGCTACTTTTTATGAATGAATTCACTATTCATTCAACCATTCATAGTATCCATGTAGAAGTGTATATTCGTTTGAGGGCGCTCGTATCAGTGAAGAAAAATGATTCAAAATTGCATCTGCAGAGGTCCAGCAAAAATCACTTTTGATGGTGATATTTTGAATGGATCCTTGCGAATTTTCTTGACAACGAAGATAAATGTATAAGTGAGGCATCTCTCGAAGTACTTTTCAAAAAATATATATACCTAGTGAGAAAAAAAAATAGTGAATCTGGTCAATTTTCTGGAATTATTTTCGACTATTTTTTTTCAAAATTTTGAAAAAGTACTCCGAGAGATGCCTAGATCCAACCTTCTAGAAACGATCCGTAAAAAAAAATCTTAAATTTATTCAGCGAGCTTCGAGTATTTTGATTTCTGCCGTTCCTTGTTTCCCCAATGATCGCTCATAGGGTTAAACCCCTCAAGATCGTACTATTCTGTAACACTCAGTAATTCATATTTACGGTGATCGTACTAGGAAGGCTGCGGGCGATGCGGTGAGAATCGGGGTATGAAAGCGGCGAGTCGCCGTCCTTCGTACTACCTGCATTGTATTATGATTTTCCCAATATCTTCCTCATTTATGCTTCGATTTTCGAAATCGACGAACCGTTCGCATCTTGAAACATAGGCGCATCGACATTATTTCGAGTATTTTTTCGATAAACGTTATAGTTACTGAGATAATGCGAGGTATATGAAAAGCAATTTAACGAAAATTTACAAGTTTCGAGTTATAGCCGTTTGAAATATGATTTTCTCATATATCGTAATGTAATTAGTGAATTTCAAAATTTTCTATAATTTGTTCACACGAAATCAAGATTCGACAGGGTGGAAGTTCTGCAACCCATCAATATTTTCCACGAATAAAAAAAATTCCATATTTTTTTATAAATTACCCCCTACCCCCCAAACGCACAGGACGATTTTTTGACGACAAGTGGATCCATGATCTGAAGATGGTAGGTAACAATTCTAGCCATGTCACAGTTTTTTACCTCCGATTTCCCACCAACTTTTGATCTAAGCGATTTACGGTTCGTTTGGCACTCTACTATAATAGTTTAGATACATAGGTATTAGATTTTAGATTCGAGTTCAAATTCAGTCTTCTGTCATGAATAATGCTTTTCAAATGGATAATATAGAGCAAAAGTGATTATTATAGGTAGGCAGGTGATTTTTTTTATACTGTCAATGTCAAACACCAAGCATTATACTTTAGAATAGTTGAGTCATGTGAGTAAATCGAATATACTCTGTTCATCATATTACTTACTGTCTCAGTGGATGATGTTTTCGACCATGTCAAATCAAGATATGTTGCTGCAAATCGAAATATACGATGTGTAAAAGGAATACGTTTCAACAAACGCTATAGTTAACCGTATTCGAGTGTTAACTATCGGAGGAACAATTGTTCAATTTTCGAATGGATTGTCTCACATACTTATGTGAAACTGGAACTGGCATAGTTGAAAGTATAGTAGACATACCTAATTCCAACTTAGTGGTGCCCGCGAGAGTCTCGTTTTCGAGAGTCTCGCATAATCTCGTCTCGTTTTCGATTTCAAGACAAGACTCGAGACGGGACTCGGACAAGACGAGACGAGATTTTCATTGATCTCGTCTCGAGTCTCGTGCATGACTTCTCGTGTCTCGTGCGAGTGTCTCGCAGGTAAATATTTCTGCGTGCCTACTGCAAACTTGAGAATTTTATTTATAATACAACATATTTAGATATAATTCAGACTATTTAGCACAGATAGACAAAACATTTCATTCATGAATACTTTGAAAACACAATCCATGATTGTTGTAAAGAGACGTAATGCGTGAAATGATAACGGACTATTCTCTCTCTTACGGCGGCAGAATATAAAGGCAATTCTGCAATAACGACATATCGCAAATTGAATGACTACCTGAAAATCTATAAATAAGTCATTCTGTGCTAAATAGTCTAGGGTAAAGAATAACTTTATGTCTCATCGACTGGGTGAAAAACAAAAACATTTGTGATCGTAAAGGCTGATCTGACTGATGAAGGTTTTTATCTGAGATACCTATTTCATAAGAAAAATAATGTTGGATTGAAGTTTTTTTTTTGTTTATTCGTAAAGAATATACGTGTTACTTTTTATTTCATTTTCATAACTTTCGAATATATAATGCTATGTTTTTTTCTCTTGTTTAGATGTATGATGTGAGTATGTACCTATTAGGTACTTACTTTCCAATAAATAATGTTGATATTGTCGTAATTTTCTCTTCCTACTTCTACATTACACCAAAAAAGTAGGTGAAGGTAAATATCTCGTACTAGACTGGAACAAGATTATGCATGACGTAATTGCGGTACATTTGCGAGACTATCTTACGAGACGCGAGACAAGACGAGACTCCAGGCTGCGAGACGAGACTCGAGACAAGACTTCATAGTTCATCGGCGAGACGAGACTTGATGAAAGTCTCGTCTCGTTGGTCTCGTGTGAATCAGAAATACTGAAAATTATTTTTTGCGTTTGTTCCGAACCAATTCATGAACATCAGATGATGAACAATGTACCTTCAACTCATTCGCATGAGAATCTTGGTTGTACCGACATTTTCGTTGTTCAAATAATTGCCTCGAATATTGGTTTATGACATTTTTTTATAATACATTCGGTGCAGTTGCGACCGATGCTCACTACGGACACACAGAAACACCTTATTGATCTGATTCAAGATCCTGGAAGTTGTTATAAAGTAGATATCATTACTCCACAGAAAGCTCTGAAAGAAAGTGAATATATCAAGGATGACTCGATCAGTAATTTTGGATGATAAAATACTTTAATCTCTGAATCATATTCATTCGACTCGGAATGATCATTATCTGCCTATTGATATCATTCAGAAAATACAGAAATGAAATTCACCAGGATTCGATGATACTCCACCGGTTAATACCTGCTTCTGTATCAAAAACTCTTGACCAGTGTTTGAATGATATCCACGATATTTAAATGATCTTTATATTATTGCTGTTAAACAAGGTACTCTCAAGAATATTCGAATAATATACTCATCAAGCAATCAACTCACCTTTGGATATTCTGTATGACATGTTGTCTTTTTTTTTTCAGTGAAAATAGAAGTATGTACGTCAGTTCCCTGCGTGCGTACAGCAACAGATCTTTTGAAGCTTATCGACACAAAAGTTGATCCCTGTGAAGACTTCTATCGATTTGCCTGCGGCAGTTTTCTGCAGCACACCGACCTGGATAATCGCGGCTTCATATCCGTCCAGAATTTTATCGAGGACGAGATTCATTCCGAAATTAGAAATATATTAGAGCAGCCGATACGACAGGAAAGCCCGAAATCCTTGGATACAGCAAAGAAATTTTATCGAGCTTGCATGAACGAGTCTGCGATCGACGCAGCAGGATTAAAAAAGATAAAGGAAATTCTAGAACGGATCGGCGGCTGGCCAACCCTGCTCGAGAATAATTGGCAGGAAGATGATTTTGATTGGTTAGCGGTTGTGCATAAACTCAGAGAGATGGGAGTCAACTTCGGGGTATTTTACCTTGTTTCCGTATATCGAGACGAAATAGATGAGTCCAGATACGTTTTAGGTGTAAGTAGATTCCTTTTTTTGCGATTAATGAATTTGCGAGGTTGGCGTAATAGATAACCGTTGGAGAGGTAGGTATATGTATTATATAAAGAGATAGACAGAATGTTATGAAGTCATGAAAAAAATTCGAATGGAATTCGAATTCGTATCGGTATATCAAAAACTTGCAGGCCGAAAAACCATTGTGTAAAAATTTAAGTACCGCATCGCTTGCCTCCAAAATGTATTCAATGAAGAGGGTGTTTTTGTTGAGAGCTTCAAACTACATCTAGTTACTCTTCTAGAAGTCCCATAAAAATGGCTCGGAATTGTTCTTCATGTCGAAATAATATATATTCTTGTTATCACTATATGAGTTTCTGCTGAAAATGTAGCCAGAAGGAAAGGAGCGGATTTAATCAAAAATAAGGAACCTAATTGAGAGGAACCCAAAATGAACGTTTCGTTTCCTAGATTCAGGTTTGGTAATGTAAACAGTTTGTCATCAATTTCGTGATATCTCCAATGTGATATTCAATGTTTGGTAATGAGGCTTGATTCTCAGACCTGTCACAGTCTTTTCAGCTGATCCAATTACTACAGAGGAGTATATACGAACACCAAATGACTTTTCATATTCTTTGAAAATTTTTCGCCATAAAAATCAACCTCTTGTCGACTGACTTTCAAGAAACAAGATCGAATTCTTCCTTGTCGATGATAATTCTAAAACATGAAGTAAGATGCGAAAATTATTCCAAGCAAATCTTGATTATATGGTTGAGCATATTTTTCACTGGCTGTTGGGAATTTAATGATGTCGAAAAGTAATTGAGTATGACATCACAAACCAGGCAAATACGTTTTCTCTAGATGTATTCTTAGAGTATCAGCGTAGGTTTGGATGTTAACCCCATCCCAGGTTACACGGAACTCTCCGCGATATCTCTAAGTAGTTATCTTCAGGTTCGAAATGCGAAATCCTCCTGCGAGTTTCCAAAGATCACTATTGGCTGTCACCATGGGAAATACTCTCTGAAGTCATCCGAAAGATATCGCACTGAGAGAAAACTTGAGTTATCATAATTGGAAATCTGATAACCGTTATTACGATATCTGCAATAAATAGGGGACAGATGTGTTCATTTGCTACCATAGATGAAGTGAATTTTCAGGTGACTTGTAGTTATGGCAGCTTATTCAATTTGCAAACTTGTATTAAAACACCGCTGCTGAATAACTACTACTTGTTCTAGTTTCTATGATAACACAGAATGTCGAATAGGAATTATTCCCATAAAATGTTGCAGTAACTCTCCACTCTACAGTGGTTATTAGACTATCGACATAAAACAGCATGTTTTTATTACTGGCACAACCATCTTGAGGTAACGCAGTAATATGTCTCATTTTATTATAGTTATCTGATATCTGCATGAAACCTGACATTTTGACATGCTATTGTAATATAGCTCATTTCAACAGTTATCCCAATATTTTTCTACTCTAGTATATTCATCAAACGGTGATAATAAGGTTATCTAATCAACATTATTCGATAGTATGCATTATGAAACCGTGCTTTGAATTACTGCAATGAAAATAAATATCCTATCCACACTATCACTTTTCATGATTCAAAGTTATTGTTTTCAAAAAAACAAAAAAATACGTTTAGTCTCTGAATTGAAATATTTGGGTATCTGTGGAAGTTTTTTGACATTACTCATTGATTTTTCGGAGAAATATCATCTTTATGCATTACTGACGAATTTATTAAGAAATGAGCAGTTGAATACTTATATTTACCCTTCCTTCGGAGTTATGATGAGAATTGTCAATAAAAATTCCCTCACAGAAACCCAGATATTTTGATTCAGAATCCCATCGATCATTTCGTTTTTGAAATAAACCAATTTTAGGCCATGAAAAGTGGGTATGGAGAATACTTTTTTCATTGCAATAATGCAATGCACGGTGTATTCCACAGATCGGTTATTCACAGCCAGCACTAAAACAAAACTTTGCTACATCACAGACATTCACCTACAAGACACAGCTTTATCGATTCGGACGATCGAAACCATTGAACAATAATTGAACACGGGCACCCATGACCGAGAACAGCAGTGAAATGAACGCGATCTGTATCTTTGTCAGTCCCAATTCTAATGAAACACTAGAGCGAAATGAGCCGAATTACGATTGTCTAATGATTGCCTAATAACTGTCATACATGTGAATTGCTAGAGTTATTCGTCAACGTACGCTAAAAACCCAAACAGCTATGATTATTGGGACAAACATTATCTGAATACACCAATGAGCATAATTCACAAAACGAGCTGTCAATAAAAAATCTAAATAGACTGGAATTTATAAAATTCTAATAATGTCATAACACACCTGCGTTATGATGGTAGCAAATGTCCATTCAAGGGTATTACAAATGATTTGAGAAATCGATTTTTATAATTACAGAATGGAGAGAATACTGTTGTAATAATAAAATGATCAGGAATAGGAAATTTCCTTATAATGGTTATTACAATCAGAGCTGGTAGATATTTTTAATATCCAGTTTCTCTCAGTGCGCGGAGATCTAGCCTCAGATTTGAAATATTCCTCATTATTGCGAATCCTTGAGGTTATCTATAACAGAAAATGAATAAGAATTTTTTTCTGCGAGCACCCATGGATATCCTGGACGTAACAAGATCGAGCATTTTCCATTGCGAGCTCCTAAAGTAATCACACACATAACCTGAATGATTAATGAATATTCTTACAGAAATATTGAGTTGTTTTTTTCAATTGCCTTTATGATTCAAATACTCTGTGTCCTAAGTTATCGAATACAGGCAATATCTTGCCTATTCGTCAAGATATCAGAAACATCAAAAAAACTGCATTGGATGACATAAAATACCCTTGCTTATGGCTAATGAAGAAAGGGATATATTTGACAGCCCCCTGATGGTAGATACTAATCAGTATTTATTTTCAAATAGCATTATTTTCTCTGAAAATTGCGTGTCAATCAATTTGGAATACATGGAATACAATGATATAGCACATACTTGGTGTTTTGTTCATTGATAACAACAAGAACATAAACATTTTGTCTTCTTTACGTTACTTAAGACGAACGTCGTACTACTCTCGCCTGGCATCTCAAAGAGATGTCGCTACGGTTCACAAACCGTCATAAAAATCAATAAGAATCCAGACACGAGAAACCGATGTAGAATTGTCTTGTTCCTTCCTCGGTTTCTTCTCGTTGGCGATGTTACTATTATAAAGATTTTCAACAGGTGTCACTTCAAATATTAGTAGCGCTCTGATACAATATCATTTCCACATTATTAAAATTATGCAAATGAGTTTTCAATCTAATATTATCCAAAATTAAATTCGATTTGATTGAGTGTCGAACTTTCGGGTGCTCCTCCCATTTTGGGTTCAAATCAGAAGCGCATTATTTCCACGAACCTGTATTTACTTCTTCATGGGCTTTGTTTTTTTATCTCGGAAGACACCGATCGAGCGACCAGTTAGTTAGTAGATATATATTATGCTATGATGCTTGAAGTAATGTGTGATTATTGTATAGGCACTGAGGCACTATTACGGCAAGTGAAGAATACTTTACAGGGGTGGTCTTCTTGAAATACTTTTTATCTTTCGGAAGGCTCGAAAGGAATCCCTATTATTTTCAAGGAACAGCGCACGTGCATGGGGTAGAAAGGAAGAGAAGGTAGGAAATGGAAATTGCTTCGAATCTCTGGATATGAATGATAATCGTAGATACATGATAGAACATAAGTAGATAGGATCATCAAATATTTGGTATATAATAGAAAGTTCGATTTTTCAATGTATTGTTTGATATTGAATAATAAAATTACACCAATAATATTTAATATTATTATTTATTTTATCATTATTTCGAAATTCTGATATTCAATCAATATTATTTTTTATATCAAGGTCCAGAGAGATATCGGAACTCCTACCTTCTTACCGTATTTCACATGTCGATATAAGTGGAGAAATCACACACACACACACACACACCACGCCCCCCGAGAGGTTGAATGCCCAGGATCAAGTGCCGCCATATAACTAGCTCACGTTATATGAAAGCTCCTCATCCCCATGTCCATCCACCCCCACTCACTAACGAGTGGACTTCAACCATGCATTTGGCAAACTGCATTACAACAATTCTTGTCCCGGTCACGGTCGAACTCCTCCGAAACGGCTCGACCGATTCGTATGAAACTTTTTGTGCGTATTCGGTAGACATGAGAATCGGTCGTAATCTATGTTTCAACTCAAAAATTCAAGATGGCGGATCCAATATGACGGACAAGTATTGTTATCCGATTTCATTCAAAATTGGTATTTGGTCGTGGTCTTCGGGGTCGGAGATTATGATTCTTTCGTCAAATTCTGGAAATGCAAGATGGCGGATCCAATATGGTGGACGAGTTTTGTAATTATGGTCAGATTCCATTCAAAATTGGTATCTGGGGGTTTTCGAGGTCGGAGATTATGGTTTGTTCATCAAAATTAGGGAATTCAAAATGGCAGACGAGTTTTGTAATCATGGTCAGATTCTATCCAAAATAGGTATATGTAGGTGTTAGAGGTCAGAGATATGAATCATTTGTCGGAATTAGGAAATTGAAGATGGAGGATTCAATATGGCGGACGAGTTTTGTAATTATATATGATCCGATTCTATTCAAAATATGTACCTGAGGGTTTTCGGGGTCGGAGATTATGATTTCATTCTTTAAAATTGGAAAATTCAAGATGGCAGATCCAATATGGTAAGAGACCTTTGTGATAAATATTAGTTTGAAGAACTATGATGAAACACGCTTTTATAGATAGCCAAATTCGAGTCCAAACTGAATAGAAGTGGAAAATGAATAGTAGAGTTTGAAAAACGAGATAGATTGTCGAACTATAAAAAGAAGTAGGAAATAAAAAGAGTAGTTTGAAATACTACTGGAACACGATTTCATGGATATCCATGGATATCTAATGAGAAGTTCAAAACGAAATGATTAAAGTGTGTTGGTGAATATTTAACTAAAAAAATATTCTCTAGGAGAGAATGCATATAGCAAAACAACGTGTGCCAGCTATCACCATCAGCTATTGTAATAAAAAGTAGTTTGAAATACTAATGAAACAAGTTTTCATAGATAGCCAAAATAAAATGAAGTGAGTAGTAAATAAATGAGAAAATAAACAGATATATAGAGTGACGAACTTTAAAGAAGTAGAGAATGAGTAGAATAGTTTGAAAAACTAAAGAAACCCGTTTTCATGGATAAAGCCGAACTGAAAAGAAGTATAAATGAAATATTGAAAGTTCTTTGATAAATATTCATGTGAAAACACTTTTTCTTGAAGTAATATTATGGCAAAACAACGTTTGCCGGGTCAGCTAGTATAATATAAACTATTTCAAATATTGATATTTTCCTGGATATCCATATTTTAGATATCTGGGTGAAACAACGAGTACTCTGACATTCCTCGACAGGATATCCTTCGTAAATTATCACAAGATCAAACGAATTCACCTGTGTGAAGTTCGATCTTGATTATATGAACCGCCCCGTTCGAAGAGATCGCTAGTGTAGTACCCCAACTTCGCACCAGGTGACGGCACAAATTTCAAAGCATCTGAAACTTTTCTCCCATCTCAAGCTGCTCTCTGCCTCTCGATCTTCGTCTCGAGTCTCGTCATTTTTGAAAGCACATTGTCACAACACATAATCGGGTAATTTGAAGTTTTCCCTTATCGGGTAAATTTTAGGGAGGGTGTGATCTCTTCGAACGAGGCGGTTCATATAATCAAGATCGAACTTCACTCAGGAAAGTTCGTTTGATCTTTTGATTATATTTCCCGCCTCGTTCTCGAGATCACTAGTGTAGATGTTCAAAGCTCGTTGTGACAATACAATTTATATTCCAAAATATAAATCACAATATAATTTAGGAACTGATAAATAGATAATAGAAACTATAATCTATTATAGTGAAGAATAGTGGATTCTTCATTATTTCATTGATCCTAGAATTGCCCCAGTGAAACTATCTTTATTATATAAAATAGCTATTATAGAATTGGACAACTTTATCTGATTTTTCAAACCACCCAGCAGTTTTTCATTATATTACCTACTTAATAGAGGCCCCTCTTTTGACTGCAAGTGGCATGTCAAATAGGTACACTTACTTACCTGTTATGTACTGTGATTACCTTGGTTTTCATCACTCACTTTTGTGTACTTACTGTTGTTGCAATAAATGTTTGACTAGTTTTCATTGAAAGAGGCAAAATAAAGCCGGCTGAATTCTATTTTTGACAAATTTCAATTCTGTGTAGAATCTTTATTTCGATGCCTACAATCTGTTTTCCCATATTTTCCATTTCCACCAACTCTATGATTCGTCACTCTAAGGTTTTATTAGGGTAACGATCTAGAGCTTCATGGTCCACAGTTTCAATAAACAAATATCCTTATTTTCCAGGATTTTGAGATAGTTCAGAACTAATGAATGTGGGATCCCAGGTTGCACTATTTAGGATCTAATGGCGTTTGGTTTTGTCATAGCTATCTATATAATGATGCAAATGTATGGAATAAATTCATTATTTCAGAAATGGGCGACATTTGAAGAAATTCCAAAAATACGTGAGTTTTAATTTTTGAAGCCTCATCTCATGACATTCCTATGAGAGATGTTACGTCACTGGTGTAGAAGTAATGACGTAATGGACGATTTTTTCAAATACCAGCAGGGGTCATGTGACACCTCGTTTGAAAGGTCTACTGATCGTCTATCCAACAGTCAAAATTTTGCATAAGAATATTGCAATTGAAATGGATTATCATTTGGTTAACTGAATCTTGCAGAGGTCTGCTACTGAGAATTGAACATCGAAGGGTCGTCTAGTTGAAAAAATACACAATAAAAAAAGTTCTGAACTCTAGTTTTTGGATTTTTTTCGGAAGTCGTCTTGTTTTGAAATGAATTTATTCCATACATTTGCATCATACTGTATGTACAATTCAGATAGTTATATGGTTTCCTACACCTTCAGAATCTTATCATTTCAAAATACAGTATATCCAATATCCGGTTCTGTTATCAAGGCTAAAGCTGACCTAGGATAGTTCAAGGCACCATTTGAAGCACCATACTCAAACATTTTGTTGGAATCAATAATAATAATAATAATACGTCTTCATTCACCAAAGTACATACAAACAAGAATCCAAGTGGAGATTCGATATTACAATAATTATTGGTGAAAAGGCAGAGTGTCAGCCTAAGCTGTTTTTAAAATAAACCGTTGTACACAAGATGATAGCACTAAAAAAAAATAGAAGAGAAGTGGTAGGTACTTAATAAATAAAGTTTAGTCAGGAATATGGACAGCCGACAATCCTTGATGAGTGGCTAAGGTTTCGGTATCAGGTGATTATGGCGTCTAACTGAATTAGGTATAGCTTCAACCTTTTCTTGAAATTATTGATTGTATATGATCTTAATTCACTGGGGAGTAGGTAATAATGTTTCGGTGCCATGTACGAAAAGCTGCGAGTGAAGATTGCAGTCTTGTGTTTGGGAATGACTAGAATAGATTTGTTACGAGTTGCAATTATCTGCATATCTGAAAATGATGTCAGTTTTTACGAAAGTTACTCAGGCGTGTTTGTCGTCAGTACATTATGGGGGATAATCAACAAGTGCAGAGTTCTGAGCTTGAGCTAACCTTGTTATATAGTTATTGGTATGTTGAAAATCATAGGTGATATGTAAGCCTTATTCATATATCTTGTCAAAAATTCACCATTTTTTGATTTTGTTCCATTATGCCGCTTGAGAGGAGCAGCTGAAGAAATCATATGATGTTAATAGTGGATTCTGGGACAATTTTCATCCTATAAGCCTTCCCAATAATACTGCTCATATTAACAAATAACTTTCTTATACTCTGTTATGTTTGCTTGTCAAAATGTCCTATTGATACCTTCCAGAGGAGTTGATTGTTTTGTATATAGTATTTCATGCACAATCTTCTGGATTTCAGATTTTCTAATATTACATGTTTTTTATATGATTTCCCTTCACATCAGGAAACACCCTTCCCTGTAGTGGATTCATCAAAATATTTTATTTTTGAATTGATGGTGTAGGTATACAACCAAGACTCCAGCGAAATGGACAAATTCATAGTACCTACCTGAGAGTATATCTGTGGAGTATATGGGCAATATCTAATGGTACCTGAATTTACTATTAAAAAACTTGTCTGGAAGTTTCAGTGCCCTATCATTCTCCTCTGAAAGGAGTTCAGCAGTCATATTCTCTGAGTTGAATAAAAACCATCGAGCCTCCAACAATGTTTTGGGATTAGTTTGCTCTATTTTGAGTCTACTATTAATCTTGAATTGCTTATTCCTCTAACATTCAAGTTGCTGAGGTGTTATGGGTGTTATGAAACCCATGTATTATTGCCTATCCAAAAATGTCATCCAGGTATGTGACACAGATAAAACACCAGTTTTTCTTAGCCAAGACATGTAAGTTTCATAACCTTGATATAAACAGCCGAGGTATGTCTACGCCTCTTGCAAGACTTAACATGTCCTGTAACAGATTCTGAAATGATACGTTTTTGATCTATGGTCCTCTCAACTTGAAACATTCCACTGCTAATAAAACTGTTGGGGTACTAATTTGAGTATATTCGGTACTCAATCATTATAGAGGTCTCCTCTAGCAATGCAATCAACCACTTTATCAACATTGACATCTACATCTCTATACAAGGTTGAATACTTATTTAAACTTTCTGTACTCACCTGACCAGTTATTCTCAACAGTAGTATCATGAGGTTTTCTACTAGAGGGACTTTGATGATCTCTTATGCATAAGAGGATCATTGTATTATGAATAATCCTCTAGCAAATTTACTAATATTTATAACCCTAGTATTTCTTCCCCTCGTCTTCCTCTTGAACTGATTGTATTATGATTGTTCACATCGCCTTATTGTTTGGCACTCGATCTGACCTTTGATATAAATTTGGTCCGCCTTGACGAAGAGGTACAGTAACTTGTCGGGACGTACCCTTGAGGTCTCAATGTTTTTGAACAGGATTTGTTGAACCTTTTCATGTGCACAGCATCATTCCTTAACTCTTATCAACTGGAGGTTACTATCCCCTCCCCTCTTTATTCACTATTCATTAATCAACATAGTGAGTGCCTGGCCTATACCATTCATATTTATACTAACGATTTTATATTCTAGTGAGACGTCCCTCTTGCCTCACTACTGACTCACTGAAGGAGGTATTAACTTGATTATTCAGTTTCGCAATTTTGATCAACTGTGTGACTGTTCCAAACAACAAGGTATTTTTGGTAGACTAGATGCGGCACGTTCTAAAATATTCTTTAGAATGGACGTCCACCCTTTTAGTATGTTCTCGAGTATATATCCAACCTTCATTATTGATTACTTCTACCAAATACTTAAAGAACATTTGTTGGTAATATACAAATTTTTTTCTTAATTTTTTTTTGTGATACCAGTGTTATTATTCCTTTCAATTGTACCTTGTATATGTATATACATGCACCAAGATCTCTGGCAATAAGAAATCTGAAAGAATGAAAGAAAATATTGTCAATTCTTCTGTTCCATTATTGTCAAACTCTGATTAAGTGAATATATTTATTCAATTAGTATTGTTCACTTGGTTGGAAAATGTATTTGTACTTCCTGTTTTTCTTTTCCTCTCACATCACATCAGTTGAGGATACCAAACTGCCATAAATATCTCTACCTAATCACATTATCAACTCTGGTTCAGTATAGAAAAAGGTATCAACATTATTAAATACATATTTCCTGCTGAGGAATATTATGGATTATCAGTATAATATTATAATGCAACTTCTTGTCTTGTACATTGATTCTCCATTCTTGACCTCTCTTGTCATGTCATGTCGACTCAAGGTTATGTCAACTGACGTCTGTCAGTCCCTTGTCAGGTGTCACAAGTGACCAACTATGTAACAGTATGTTTGTCTGTTAAAACTGGATAAAACAGTTTGAGATATCAAATTCTGACAAATATTCTGATTTAATTACTGCTCTGGTTTAGTATAAAGAGGCAACAAAAGTTTGTATTCCTTGCTATACTTTGTCTAATGAAACAGTTCTAGATGTCAAACTCTGACAAAAATCTATATCTGTTAACCAACTCGGGTTGAGTATGAAGATATCAGATTATATTTTTATTTACTGGTATACTTTGATAGAACAGTTCGAAATGTCAATCTCTGACAAATATCTTCATCTAATCACCAATTCTGGCTGAGCATAAAAAGATATAGAAGTATATATTTCCTGGTATACTTAGTCTGATAGAACATCAGTTTGAAACGTCAAACAATTTACCTTTTCCAACTCTGGTTTGGTATAAACAATTATAAAGTATATATTTCCTGGTATACTTTATCTGATAATACAGTTCGAGATGTCAAGCTTTGATGAAATTATCTTCATCTAATAACGAACCCTGGTTGAGTATAAAGATATCAAAGTATCTATTTCCTGGTATACTTTGTCTGATGGAACCATGATAGAACAGTTCGATAGGTATAGCAAACTCAGCAACTATTCAATTCCCAACTCTGGTTTGGTATATACAGGTATCAAAGTATTGAATAAGTATATATATAATAAACTGATTAATATCTCCATCTAATTATCAACTCTGACAAATATCTCTATGTAATAATCAACTCTGGCCAAGTACAGATGGTATCAATGTATACAATTCCCAATGTGGATAGTTGCCCAAGTATGTCTAAACTTATTTATATTGTTTTCAACCAAACTCTGGTTCAATTAGATACCTTCATCATGATAGGAATAGGTATTTCCTGGAATACTTTCCAATGAGGATAAGTTTACTTGTCCAAACATGTCCAAACTTATTCTTATTGTTCTCAACCAAACTCTGGTTTAAGTGGATGATATCGATGATACTTCAGTATATTTGCCGATACGAAATCAGTCTATTAGATCTCAATCATTAGATCCCAATCACTCTTCCACACCTATCCCACCCCTCATCCCTCATAGTGTCTTTCACAGAGAAATTTCAAAAGTTGGTTTTTTATTTTCATTTTCCAACACGAAAAATGCTAAATTAGAGAGAAAAAGGTAGCAATCGACGATCAATCTTTTTGCCCTGGGCAACTCACTGACATGAGCTGGATTAAAGGTTTACTCCTAGAAGTCAGCTCCCTCATGACTGCCATCAGGGTTGTTAGACAAAAATCATCGGCAAGGCCTGCATCGGCTGCCTTGAAGGGTAATTCTGTGGCGTATCTAAGTGTTCTACATGTTTATCATGTCCAATGTCCCCTTTAGAAGATTTTTGTTTATACACCTTGTATTGTAAAAATGTTTTTATTGAATAAATGGAATCGAAACGGATGATACTTCAGTTTCTCCTCTATTGAG